CTATTTAAATTACTTTTTCCAAACAACGTGACAGGCTGAAGTCTATGGAAATCACCACAAATAATGCCCCCAGAAGATCTAACCATTACATTAATGACAAAAAGAACAATCTATCTCCATGTCTTTTATAGGCAAATTAATATTCCAGTGACATCAGTTAAGAACGTTGTGTGGGGTTTTTTTAATTATTTGCTTTTCTTAATTTCTCATATCCTTCCAGAAGTGCTTTATTTTCAGTAGAAAACTGAAGAGCCTTTTCACGCTGGGTTGCTATTGCGAGCAGATTCCAGGCACAGAAGATCCAGATGATCTCAGGATCTGTGGAAGTCTTTTTGGCTCACAGCAGTGGCTTCTTTTGATATGATCATTAGGGTATGTACGTAAGTGACTATTGAGTAAAAGCCAACATGCTGCAGCTAGATGGACTTCCATGACACATGGGCTACTAAGCTCCTTAGGTGCTCTTAGCTTTTTCAAAGAGAATGGATGTTTCAAAACTTCTGCAAAACGATGTGATTGAACTCCAGTTTTGAACAACTACATTGTTTGGGTTACTTAGTGTGTTCAGAGTCTATGTATCAGGGTGCGTGCACTCTCGGATGTTTGGGGGTTTTTGGGTTTTTTTAATTGATTTGTATAGCACCATGGTGACGGGATGCTGTAGGAGTCTAAGTAGACCATTCGCTATGTGAAGGTGGGTCTAACTTAGATTGCAAACATAGGATGTTACATAAGGGAATAATCTAGTTCCACTCTTGAATGGTTAGCTAGGGAAGCTAAAGCTTATAACAAAGATCAAATTATGCAAATTTTGCAGGCAATAAATGAAATGGACTCCAGATTTCCTTTTAAGAAGGGCCTAGGGAATAATTTTTTTTTTTTCAAGATCCATTTCTGTGACATCTACAGATAGAAAAATAATAAAGATTGGAAATTAAGACTAATTGTTGTAGTTTGTACATGTTAGAATAAAATAAGTCCATAAAATCATATACCTTTTTAAACTTACTCTTACAAGCTCTGTGTGTGTATGTATCTGTGCAATGCTGTCCTCAGAACTGAACCAAACCTAACCATTTCTGTGTCAGAAATGAAACATAACAGTGGACTCTAAGAAACTATTCTGAAGATGAAAACTAGCCGGAGAAGCCTCCCAGGAAGTAATTCTACAGAAAGAACAGAAGGAGAGAGTAATACCATGTCCTCCAGGAATGGCATTTAACAGTTACTTAACATTACTGCAGCCTAGCACTAATGAACAATTATTTAAGGAAAAAGGTGATAAAATCCTAGTGTTGAAATGGGAAAAATGATGAAAATTATTGTGTTGTTCACAGTGTATTATTAGTTAAGTTCTGTTCAAATTCGGTTTTACGAAGTAAAATATTTCACCTGTTCAGGCTCATAAACTCAAGCTCTGAGTGTCTCTTCCCTTTATTTTGTGTCCTCGTGAGTAGTAGGCATGTTTTCCCAGCTTCGCTGTGCCTTTTGTGAAACTTCTGTCTGCAGACAGGTGTCCGGTATAGAGTAATTGGTTCTGTTGATGGAGGAGAAAGGATATGTTTTCTCAAAAAATTAATTCTAAGCTAGGAATATGACTTGTCAGAGAAACAGGAATGTGATATTGTTCAAAACAGAACTGCAGAGGTCTTTGAAGATGAGACAAAGACCTTTGGAGTTAATATGTGTGGAATTAGTAAACAACTGAGAGCTTGGGGCAGAGGCTTTCATAAATCTGATGAATACAGAGAAGCCATGTTCTGTAACCTTCCTTTTAGGTGTAGGTTGGGTTTGAATTAGTCTGGTGTCAAGAAAGTAAAATCAGCTTCTCTGCATGTATTGCGTTGACCTGCTGTTGAATTCAGCAAACTGTTGAGCCCTGTCTCGCTTCAGGAGAGCTCAGGCAGGCTGTGCTGCGCTGCCCAGCAGTCCCATTTCTGCCCTGAGGCCTCCTCTGGTTTCAGAACCCCTCACCCCCTAGATGTCTGCTTACACATCTGCCCAGACTGACCCATCTCCACCAGGGCCAGCTGCAGCTAAGTGTTGGAAGAAAAAAGGCATGAAAGTAACCTGGTTTTAACCAGGTTTTTAACTATTCCTTGATCCATCTGATCTCAGTCCCGTGAGCAACGCTGTCAGTATTGGGAGGAGGAGTACAAACTCAGGGCCTAGAGGAGGGCAAATGCAGCTCCTCTTGGTGTCAGCCAGCAGTTTGGTTAAAATGGTCATGAAACCTCACCAGAATGGATAAAAGTTAATACAATTGTAAAATGTATGTGTTTTGAATAGGGAGATCTGAAGCGGTCCTATCCTGTAATAATAAGTGTTAACTTCCTCTGAAGTCTTCATCAAAGGTTCAGGAGAAAGAAGGAGTTAACATGAAATGTTTGCAGTGTGGAATCCAAAGATTAATGATACTCTTTATTCCTTTTCCCTTTAAGCGTAAGCACTTTAGAAATGTCTTTTGCCCGTTTTTAGGTGGTATTAAAGGTAAGTATGTTTTTTCTTTTTTTTTTTTAAAAAGTAGTTGGTTGAAGTTAACTGGGTTGCTGCTTTTGGAGAATGTTACCCTTATTTGATGAAGAAAACGTGATAAATGCACATGGAGTAAGTGGAAAGAACAGTACAGTTCACTGATGTGGCTGCCTATTCTTGGGCTGACCCTATTCTGCAATCCAACTGTGCAGAAGCTAATAGGAAGAGCAAGCTTTTGAAAAAATCACTGCCTTTCTGGTGACAGGCTGACAGTGGTTCTGCCCAAGGCATTGGTTAGCAAAGTTGGGCTGTTAAGCAGAAGGCAAAGACAAAAAGGGGATGGTATCTCAGAGGAGACACGTCTTACACTTCAGTGGTTCAGGATGTAAGCCAAATTGTTGGAAAAGGTGGGCTCAGACAGAGCCCTTTGCTCAGTCTTCTCTGGACCTGGGCAATAGAAAGACAGCATCATGAGGGGTCATGTAGTCCCAGGAGAAGGGTGGACCATAGTGAGAGCCATCTCTCTGTCCATCCATTCTCTTGGTAAGCTACTGGCTCCCAAGAAGGGGCAACAGATGCACATTCCTGGTTTACAAATTAGTCTTGCATTTGGAACACCAATTTCAGCTCTATTTTGTTATGTTGTAAGGCTTTAATATAGAAGAAAAAGCCTTTGCAGATTTCAGTTGGCCTGGGAGCTGCTTTTTTCTGCTGCATTTTGATATTTTCTGACTTAGTCTGCAGTTCACATTTCTCCTTCAAGTCACTTAACTAAATTGGCAGAGAAAAATATTTCTGTAAATCTTCTGGTGGCTCTTGCATTAGTATTTCACATTTGTAAGTGTAAATTCTCACACCTATTGCTAGTAATGATCTATGCAACTGTATTATTCCTTGTTGTAATTATTCTAGGTATGATTGTCAGATTTCCTGCATGCATCTTGCTGAACTATCACCCATCTTGCCAGGAGGGTCTCTTCTGGTTGCTTGTAGCTGCTGAACAAATACCTCTCTGCTAGTCTGTATACCACAGCAAAGCTAAGCATGCTGTCTGCTTTTCTCAGCAAAGTATTTGACATCTGAAGTGGTAGAGAGCTGTTTTCTTAAGGGAGATACCCTACGTATGAACTGGTCTGCTCAAGGTGGAGCTTTTTGGTGAGACGGCATATGCAAGTACATAACGTTTAGAGTGCAATCTAAGTTATTTATTAGGTGAGGTGGGGTTTGTTTGAGTAGGCAGGAAGGTGCAGAAGAGCAGCTTGGTGAAGGTTAGTTCTCGTGTTACAAGAAGCGATTGCAATGTCTGCTCTGAACACCTAGAAGTATTTGGGTTTTTTGTTTTGGTGTGTGGTTGTGTCAACACAAATCTCTGCTGACCAAAGGCTGGAGTTGCTGTTCTAGAGTATGTGATTATAACAATAGGCTTTCTTTTTTTTCCTCCCTTCCCCCCTTTTTTCCCCTAGATTGAATTTAAAAAATACTGTCTCAGACTTACGTAGAGAACTACCTTATATTGCTGGCCTTGGAGATTGAAAGTCTCTTTGACACTTTGCTGTCCTGGTTCCCTGTGGCTGCTCTGTTATCAATGAGCTCCTTCTGTGTATGGTTTTCTGATGTGGTTCTCAGTGATGTTTGTCTCGCGACCTTCACATGCATCTCTTCCTGTACTCCCATCTGTCAGTTCATGAAGATCCAGAGGTATCAAATGTCTGGGATTTTTAAAAAGCAAGTAACAGGTTTTGTTAGAACACAAACATTTCTGGGACCTGAAGCTTTCAAGACAGCCATGGGGAGAGGTCCAGAGTATCATATGTAAATGGCTTCATGTGGACTACAGTTTGAGCCCGTATTCCAGATAGTACCTTCATGAAAATTCAGACCCTGATGGGGAGAAAAATTTGTCTTGTGTAGTGCTTCTTGATTTGTCTTGATTAGCACTTCTGAAACACATTGTTCAGAGCTCTGCAGCAGTGGAATTACGTGACAGATTAAAGTTCACATTTAGACTGACTTCTTTGGTGGGTAACGTGTTTCCTTCTAGTCAGCTGTTGGTATGGCTAACAGTCCAGGTACTAGATTTGTCATCCCAGCCACTTCTATCGTAAGAGATCTGTATTGATCCCTAAAGGTATATAGTGATGATAGTTTTATCTTTCTTTTTACAGTAAAAGATTACAGAAAATTATCATGGTTTGTACAACAGAAGTGTGTTCACATATATCCGACTTAAGTATTTAGGTATTTTACACTAACAAAAAATCCTTTCTCCCACGTAGAAACTATATGCTCAGATAATTTAACTATTTCTGGTGGTAATTCATAGTGAGTAAATTGAGATGAAATGAAATGAATGTGTGACCAGGGTACACGATGTTTTAATACATGAGGAGAGATTAGGATCTTATGTATGTCGTCTTAAGAAAATGAGTTCAAAAGTTTTTCCATTTAGCTTGGTTATTCAAATTGTATTAAAGACTTCATCACATATAGCATGTTAATACTTTTATTTCTGATTTTTCTCACAGCTGCAAGAGAATCCATCTGGTTAGAAAGAGAAGAGAGGGCCCGGCAACATTATGAAAAACACTTAGAGGAACGCAGAAAGAAGCTAGAAGAGCAGAGATTAAAGGAAGAGAGAAGGCGAGCTGCCGTAGAGGAAAAGCGAAGGCAGAGAATAGAAGAAGATAAGGTAAGAATAAATATCATGAAAACATTTTTCAGCTTGCTTTTACCATAAGATACAGTACTATCAAACTTTAAGAGTTGATGGAAAGAATGCAATATAAGCTATGGTCAGTATGAGAGAGCGTGAGAAAGAGGTTTTGAAGCAGATACTGCTACTTAAAGTGCCCGTTATGAATCAAATGCAGCTAAGTTGAGCATGTCTGGGTTACAGCGTATGGCACTGCACAAACTCATGCAGAAAAAAACCGTACAAAATCGACTCAGTTTGTAATCTGTTAATTCTTAGCCATTTAGTATAAGGGTAGCTAAATAGTTGCCCCTTTAAGAGAGTGTGTAATGAAATACGCTGTTGGCTGATTTGTCTCATTTAAGCTGGGAACTTACAGTGTGATCCTACGTAAGTCAGCTCATCCTTGTGGTTTTTTTTTGTTTCCTCTCTCTCCCACTGTTCAAATATTTAGTAGGTGGGAGATACAAGGTAGGAAGTAGCCCTAGGGTGTGTTTGTGTAGTGGCTGGGGGGACAGGGGCGGTGGGAGATACAAGGTAGGAAGTAGCCCTGGGGTGTGTTTGTGTAGTGCCTGCCGTAACAGGGCCACTGTTTTTTCTCTGCAGTTCTGCAGGTCTCAAACAGATCTTACCTTTTCAAAATTACAGTTAGCATTTTAACTTATTTATGGCTTAATTACTGCTCAATCCTGTTCTAGAGTTAGGATGGTTCATCTGAGTGTGTGTCTTAGCAGGCAGTACATAAGCTTGAACACAACTCCAAGATGCCTGCTAGGTTTCATCTGTGTGGAGGGTAGCAGGGTTTGATGAGAAGATTAAGTTAAAAACCCGACAGTATCCAAATGTATTATCCTGTTGTACTTAAGGAACGACATGAAGCTGTTGTACGTCGCACAATTGAAAGAAGCCAGAAGCCAAAACAAAAGCAAAACAGGTGGTCCTGGGGAGGAGCACTACGTAACCGCATTAATAACACAGGTAAAGAGGGAGGCTTGGTTTTCTAGCCAGTTTCCCTGCCCTGCCAGTTAACTGGAATTTACTTTGCTTCTGTTAAAAGTAAGGGTGTTTCAGTATATACTGGTTTAAATTCTTTGCTCTTGAGCTTATTATTGCTAGCAATGGCATGTTTCCGACATTCTTGTGTAGCAAAAAGATAATAAGGAGAAATCTGAACAAAAGTTAAAACTTGCTTCAGGAGTTGACTAATTCTGTAACTATCTTGCTACAGCTTCTTGCTTCTGCTGCTTTGCTGTTGATTATGTGTGTATATGTGGGTGTGCTTGTGCTATGTCAGTCTTGTGATATGAGCTACTGTGTGCAAATGCTAAATATCATGGCTCAAAAAATAGGTCTGGTGGAAATGACCAAATACTGAGATTAAAACAGACACAAGAAAGAAAAATTGTTCTTTGCAATAAGCTATCTGTACAAAGTACAGGTATTTTGGGAGAGAAAAGTCCCTTTTTCCCCCCTAGAAAAACTTACAGATGGGCAAATTAAGTATAAGTGAATTTTAGCTATATGCTTTTTTCCCCCCAATTATCTTCTCCAACTTAATCTGCCAACCATTAATGTGTATATACCCTGTTAAATATGACTCAAACCCAAAAAAAGAGAACTTGCCCTTTATTTCTTTCACCAGAAAGTGGTACTTAGAATTCTTCTCTTCCTGCTCTAATGTATACATTTCAATGTGTCTCACCTTTCATCAAGGAGGAAAAAAAAGTTGAGAAAAGAATTCTCTGAAATCTTTGTCGTGTATAAGTTCAATAAACAGTTATTTTTCATAAAGGTTACTTTTTTTTGCTTAACTCTGTATAACTTATTTGATTTTTATTTTCTTTGTTGTGAAAAATCATTGTCTTGCATTCTGTCCCTAGGTTATTTTTTTGAATCATCATTCACCTTTCTCGATTTAGCAGGCCTGGAGCACCACTTCAGATCTCTGGGTGGTGCTAGAAAACCTGGTACATAATTGCTGTGGTTTGTTGATTCCTTTACCCATAGCTAGTTCTCAGGAAATGAGATCATCAGTAACTAAACCACCCTCATGTAGTTGCAATGCATGCTTAACATCATGCTGATAGATTAGAACTGTTGTTAGTATCAGATTTTTTTATTATTTATTTTTACTATGGAGAGTTACTGCTGGCTGACTCTAAAGATTTGGCACAATTCTCTGACATGAAGCATAATATTCTGTTTACTGGAATTCAAGGAGACCCAATTTGAATATTTTGGTCTTTTCTAAAACCCTTTTGGCATACTACGCATGCAGGATTTACATTTATTTTGCACATGAACACAGACATATAACCAGCTGCATTGGCTGATGTGTTGCTCGTGGATATTTTAGTTTTTTTGTTTTTTTTTTTAGAACAAAGAAAACAGCCGTCTTCTAGGGAATGGATTGCATTTGACCTGTCCAACGTTCATAGGATTCATATTGCCAACACTTACACACAAATCCTCATGCTGAATTTCATTCATTTAAATAACGTTCATAGACAAGAGAGAAACATTGGTATGCCAAATACAAGAGGAGATTCTTCATATTGTCATTTATCATCTTCAGAAAGCTGGTTTATGCAGTACATCCTTTATGCCAAATGTAGAAACTTTTTTGCTGTACTGATATAGTACGCATTTTCTCAGCTATAGATTAGGTATAAGAGATCAAAATCCCTGTCCCATTCCCACAAATATTGTTCTGACAAAGATCTGTGACACATGAAGCCCGAGTATCCTGTCTCCAGTACTGACTCGCACACAGCACTCTTCAATATACCCCATAGATCAATGTGGGATAATCTTGCCAGCCTACAGAGTTCTTGTTCTTAGCTATAGCATTTAGATTTCTCCTTTTAAAACCCGTTTCTGAGTTCTATCCCCCTTCCAGTACCCAGTTTGCTGATTTTATACCCTCACTGAGTCATTTTAACATCAGACAAAGTGAGCAAATAATCACATGGGGTAGGGGAGAATCTGTCTTCGCCCCAAACGGTTATAGTGAATCCTGTTATAATTTATAGATCTGGAGAGAGTAAGGGTATTTTTCATGCACTGTATTTCTATGAAAATTTTTTGTACATAGCGAATATACTTTAATCTGCTAGGTCAGAACAGGTGAATACAATGTTGATGTACTTGTCATAAATAAACAATTGCAGATAATATTTCAGCAGCATCCTTCTTAATGTTGTCAGTGTTCCTGAGTTTGTATCTGCTTCCAAAACAGTATGTGGACATTTTTGCACACACAGAATATGAATCAGCAGAGCATTTAGACATATGCCTCCTTGCGTTTCAGCATGGTTAAATGCTTTGCTGAGTAGTGCCGAGGTTCAGTACATGCTGAAGTGCAAGCTAAAGCAGAACTGACTCTCCCAGCATCTTCCAAATGTCAGATTTCCAAATGGAAATTTGCAGTGGAGGACACGTAGTTGATCGTGTAGCTTTTTTGAGAGAGAGAGAGAGAGAACAGAAAGCATATAGCTGGCCTGTTCAGCTCATTCACCCTCTTCTGCCATTGCTGGCAACCTTCATGTGACACATGGACGTGCACAAGGTGTGTGCAATCTGTATTCTTGAAATAACCATCACCCCCTCAGTAGGGTGCAGATGCTGACTCTGCAGCAGTTGCACAGGCAAATGATAAAATACTGCTTTAAAATGTACAGAACCTAGAAGCAAAATAAAACCCTTTAGTATTATATACCAAGCATGTGCATTACAAGTAGTCTCTAGCCTTCTACAGAGACTCATTTTCTTTATCTACTAAGCTGTGTGCTGTTTGGATTGACTAACTACAACTTCATTCACAGCAGGTAGAAAATGACTTTGTGGTGGGAAGTTTAGCACTTATACATAACTATGGGGTTTTTAACTAAATCTTTTAATTCCTTTTGTGCTTACCCTTGCTTCCCTTGTGCACTAGTCTTCCCTTAATCTTTCAGCATTGTATTGTCACGATATTGACCTTCTGCCTTGTAACAGTGCCCTGTCAGAAGTCACCTTTTATTCAGATGCTAAGGGGTTTTTATGAATAACCTCACATTTCCAAGCATGTTGGTCCTTCCCTGAAGCTTTCTATTATAAGTTGTGAGCAAGGTTTTTCTGAGAATATTGAAAGGAATGAGGAAATATCATCTTGTCTACTAGTATCCACTTCAGATCCTTCATTAAGTCCTTGGATTGCAACCTGATTGAATGATAATCAATGAACAGAATATTTTAAACATTTGAAACTTAAATGGTTTTGTGCCCAGTCTTTGAGTCACCTGTACAACGTCTGCTGAAAAGTCCATTCTATTTTGAAAGTTCTTGTGGTAGAGCAGGAATGACCTAGTCATGTTTTCCTCCTCCCACTAGCGAGCTAGGAACTTGCACTACTGCATGTGGGCTGTCAATTAGCATTATCTCCATTTGTTTTAGATCCAGACAGGCGATCTGTTTCAACAATGAACCTTTCGAAACATGTTGATCCAGTCATTAACAAGCGGCTCTCCTCCTCATCTGCAACATTACTAAATTCTCCAGACAGAGGTACAGTTCCAAAGGAAAAAAAAAAAAAGGAACAGCAAGAAAGAATGTTCTATATTGATGTATTACTTTGCACATAAAACAAGCTTCTGAAGTCATTTTCTGTACTTCATCTAAGTGGGAGTGAAAAGACTTCAAATGTGAAAAGTAAATGGTTGAACATTTTTTCCTGTGAGAAGAAATATATATTTCTTGTTTTTTAAAACAAGAGAAGTTACCTAAAAAAAAATAATCTTACTTTAGCAAATGATAAAAGCAGTGCTTCTGTCAGGTTTTTAGTAAATGAGGTACAACTATCGAAAGAATACATCGCTCCATAGTGCATGCAATCATGTGTGACCTTTTATTTGCATTAGGCCATTTTGTCATTATGTTGTTTTCCTTTCTTCTTTGGTAGTAGTTCTTGAATATCGAAGAACATGTTGCATGAAGCTTTCAAGTAGTTATTTTATTACCATTTCATTTTATTGAAGAGGTATGGGTGGTTTTCGTATGGTCTGTTTATTGACTTTTTGTGTCAAGTTACTTTTCAAAGATAGTTTTATTTCAGTGTATGGTTTTGATGTTTACAACTCTGCACAAATTATAAACAATCAAGTTTTTAAAAATTAACATAGCTGAATTGCTGCCTCTGTTCTGAGGATTTATGAGATTGAAGCATTGAGCTTAAAGGAGTTTTATAAAAGAATGTCTCTTGTATAACGTGTGCAAAGAGCTTTACAGAAAAGTACTTGGGAGGGATTTTTTGTCCTCTACTGAGAATGAGAAGTTCTGTCCCATTTCAATCGAGATAAATGCGTGTGTTCAAAAAGAAATTTTAGAATGGAACTTTGCTTGTGTTGCACAACTAACTAGTAGACATCATTATTTTTGTGTCTTAACTAAGTGCCATGTTTTATGGGCATGCTTGTACGTGTGTATCTGGTTGATTTGATGAGCCGTGTTAATCCTAGTGGGCTAACCTAGTTGTAGAGTCTGGTAACTTGCAAAAAATACAGCATTATATTAGGAAATAATTTATTCCAGAACTCCAATAATTTTTTTGCTCTAAAAGTTGAAATCCAGTCAGTTTTAGTTTTAATTAGCTTTTCAGGTGTAGATATATTTTTCTAGATGGTTGCTGTTCTTGCCAGGGGATGCTTCTTTGAGGAAGGATCTTGGAAGGGCAGAGTGGGGGAAACAGCAGTAGGCATTAAATATGAAGGATAGTCTCTTACGGACTGTAACTCATTGTGTGATAGTTTCTGCCATCCATTTCAAATTCAGGAGAAGTTAGACTGAATAGTAGGCAGTCTAGCGGTGGGGAAAGGGAAGGAATATGGAAGTGGTGGCCATATGTCAAAAACTTTTGAATGTTGAGGCATCTTTTGCTTGGCATTTTCATTAAAACAGCACAGAACTCTTCAGAAGTCTCTTATGTCTTTTGCAGACTCCAAGACAGAAAGCAAATCCAAATGCTATAAATGCCTTCTTTCTTGTGCAAAGTCATATACCTAAATCTAGTTGAGCATGTGTCTGGAGAAGTGCCCCTCGTCTCTCCAGTAGCCTCAATGTCTTAAGGCAGATGCTTAAAGGAAGGCTCTAACTGTCTGCTCCCCATTTCACCTTCCAGAGGGCACCCAGTCACGCTTGGTCTGTAATGCATACTCCTACCTGCAAAACAGCAAGCTGGAGATGAGGATGATAAGCTTACCCTAAGTGGCTTATAGCTGTCATCAAGAACATGTCTTCTGTTAAGCAGCACCTTTTTATCATTTGAAGGACAGGGGGGTTTTTTTTGGCCCAGCAAAAGACAAAAGTTTTCATTAACTAATTGCCTTAAAGACTGGTTAATTCCATTTCAAGTATAGTATTGCTATATAGCTCTTTATCACAGTTTTACAGTTAGGCAGCTAGAACAGGCTTCTCATTATGCTTTTATGTTAGTGGTACAGCCCTGAGTAGTTGAAACTGTAACAAAACATGAATACACATATTCAAATGGAGACGGCTGCTGTTGACCAATAAATGTTGGTAATTGTGCTCTTTAAGGAAAGCTTAGCAGGTGGATAATACTTTAGATGAGGTATAAGTTGCACTTTCTTAGTTTTGAAAAGCAAAACTTGTACCATAGTCGTGTTTCTCCTCCTCTCTGCAGTGCTTTTTCTTTCAAACAGGTGATGGTCTCGATCACTGCATCACCTTTGTCTGCCACCTTTATAGAAGAAATTCAGGGGGTCCAGTATTGTTTCCTATTGAAGGAGAATCTAAGCATAGAGTAGTTTTTCCCCAACTACTCCTCAGGACGTTTGTGGCTCTGTATGAGCAACCACTGCTGTTATCAGTGAGAGTCTGCTTCGTGGTGCTCATCGGGAGACCTGTTAAATCCCTGCCTTCCATCTGTTCCTCGGACTAATTAGATGCTGCTGTTTGCCTACTTGCAATTTATTCTGCTGCTGCTAAGACAACTTTCCAGTGTTCAGTTTGTATGTCCTGAAGACAAATACAGATGATTGTAATCAATTCACTGTTGCCAGCTCCCTGGGACTTTGTGTGGTTTTCAGTTACAAGTTAGGCTATAAAGATCTTCTTCAATATGTTTAAACTAACCTGCTTGTAGCTGGGGGTAGGGGTACTTGCACCAGCAACCCTGTCATGCACGTGCTTCCTGAGTGGAAATAAGGAGCAAACAGCCCTAAGAGCAATAGCCTAACACAGCATGAGGACAAAAAATACCATTTCCCCTTGTCTGTCAGATGGTTTGAAGGACTAAATCTTGAAAACATCACCCTAAGGCATTAAAAACAAGAAGAGCAAGAAAAAAAACATTGACCTCATTGTTTTAACATCAGTCTTATTGTTTTGTGATGCTCTCTGTTTTGTATTCAGTTTGCTTCAGTGTGAACTGGACACCAAAGTTAAGTTGTTCAATGCATTTAGGTGTTAATACTCTTGTACTTGGAACTCAGTGGGCAAAAGTTTATCTGACTGTTCTAGGTTAATGGTGATGCTAATGACTGTTAGGGTATGTATTGAAAGTGTCAAATAAGATGTTTTCAGGGAGCTGTGCATTTGGAAAATTCCGTATGTGATGACCTTGATCCACAAAGCCAAGGTGTATTTAAATGAACTTTGGTCTAAACCCTTTGATCTTTAGAGATTTAGGGAGACTTCACTCCAAGCTCCTGGCTAAAACTATTTTGACACCTCTGAATCACGCCTGTTGCTTATACGGAGAAGAGAGTTTTTGTTGGTCTCTAGTAGCTCGCTGTTGGTGCATATCAGCTGGCTTGCTCCCAAACACTGCCTCGGTGCTGGTAGTTGGATGCTGTGGGCACACAATTGCTTCCAGCAGGTGATGTGGATATAAGCTCCCCTGTGTTAGGGGCAAAGAGAAAAGGGAATTAAACCGAACTCGCCTTTAGGGTAAATGACATGGGATAGGTGAGACATGGCAATTTAGTGTTCTAAGTCATCAGTCTCTTAGCTGTGTCCTCTTGAGACTACTTCATCTCTGGGGCCTAACGTGTAAAGTCTGCAGCTGGCCCATAGGGCCATATTACGTTGTAACATTTACTTATCAGCTGTTTGCAGCTGTACAGATGAACTCCAATAAATTGATAGTATACGTATTACTGATTTATTGGCCTAAAATTTGAGGGATTGCTTTCTGAAGTTGTATAGTATTGGTGTTAAAATACAGTAGGAGAGTTTCTCCAAACTCATCCATACTCATGCCTGTGAGCCTCATCTAGCGAAGCCTGAGACCACAAAAAAGAATCGGCTGTCTTGTAACAGCAGCTTTAAACAGTGATCATACTGAGCATGGTGCCTGGAGAAGAAAGGAAGGAAAGATTTTACCATTATTGCATCCAGTTTAATGGTAGTTCTGTGATTTTTCTTCATTGTTAAATTACAAGCTTAATGATAATGCGTGTGCTGTGATGGAGGCCTCTGTAGGGTATTTTGTCTCTGTATACTCTGTACCAATGCAAAATGGAACCATTAATCACAAAGAGCTCTGGCAGTAGTACATTGTGCAAGGACACTTATCCAGAGAGCCTGCTGTGTTTGAGAGTCCTATATTTCTATAGTAATGCCCCTTATTGAGTTAGCAGAATTTAGGGGAGCAATTTGAGAAGTGAAAAACAGCACTGAGGGCGGATTAGGCAATTATATTTTCACAGGATGAGATTGAGATTGGCCCTTCTTTTCATGAGGCTCAGCATGGAGTAGATTAAAGACAGATTCAGAGTTCATGGCTATTAAAACTGATGGATCTCTACCTTTAAAAATGCAAATTAATCTCAAGTTTATTACAGCCAGTCACTTCAATGAATGTTTTAGAGACTGAGCCTCATAAATTCAAGCTGCAATTTTGTTGCCATAAACACCAAACTAAGGCCAATGAATGCTGAAAGACGTGATTTCACTTGCAACATCAAGATTATTGCTATGGCCTAAGCTTATTATAATGAACTACTATGGAAACTGGTTGAATGTTTTGTTTTGTGATGCTCATTACAATACAATTTGTTGCATCAGAATATCAAAGAAACATCTAGTTCAATATAAAAAATAACTTATAGGGCTCTTTTCGTTACTGCTTTACCATGATCAATGTTTAAATAGTATTTTAAAAAAACTGAAGAAATTTTACAAGGCAAAAGGAATATGTTGACAAGCTAAGTTTGCATTAGGCAATATTGGGAAAAGCAAGGCAAGGGAGTGTTTGCAGCCGGGTCAATGTGTAGTGTATTTTCAAAACAGACTGACAGTGCAAAAAGTTGTCTCTTGTTACTGTTCTAAATTGAAAATTATCAGTAGCGGGATTTTTTGACAGAGAATTAATGATCAAATGTACTTACTGTATTCTGTGGCTTCACGTATTACTGAGACAACTGTAGCTGCTGAGCTTGGTGTCTGCAGTTGAGGCACATTGTAACCTTTCGCGATGCTTTGACAAAACCTCTTTCTTTGACACAATTCTCTGTATAGTGGTAAGCAACCTTTGTTTTTTTTCTAGCTGGGCTGGCAGACTGAGGAAGGTGTTTTAGTAACTGGTCTTTTTTGTAACTAGAAGACTGTATACCTTATGTGTAGAAAGAGTTTGGGACACAAACATCTCTGTCAAAGTCTATGTTTAGGAGTGGCAACTCCTAGTACAGAAGTTATCCTATTATTCCTAATAGGGAATGCAGCATATGTGCAAAATATCAGTACTAATTTGATAAGAATTTGCCCTAATGCCACAGGCAGTAACACAAATTAAGTGTTCAGATATATGTGTTCCTATAGGAATTCCTCTACTAAAATGGAGTAAGAATAAAATGCAAAACACTGAATGATTGTATGCTTTTGACCTCTGAAGGACAGTGCCAAGATTTTCATGGTATGTAGTAGTGAGGAGATAATACTAATACTTCTGCAACATGTAGTTATTTGTGAAGCGTTTGATCTAACATCTTGCTTGTATGGTGCACGTTCAGCTCGACGTCTACAGCTCAGTCCATGGGAGAGCAGCATCGTTAGCAGGCTTCTGACGCCCACTCACTCGTTCCTGGCCCGAAGTAAAAGCACAGCTGCATTGTCTGGAGATGCAGGTAAACTTACAAGAACAGAGGCTTCATGTCCCGGCCATTTATTTTTCCAGATTCCCTGTGGGATGTTGTAAAGTTATTGATCTATTTATGGGTGTACAGTAGCATCCCAGAATGAGCTTGAATGTCCATGATTACATTGCATGACAGCATGAAAGCTTGTTTGTGCACATGTTCGCTATGCCTCTTTCTTTCTCCCACCATCTGTTTCTTAATTTCTTTTGCCTCGTCATCAATGCAATAAATGAATAGAACGCACAGAGGGCAACAATGTCACGCTGTCTGTGACTGTTCAAGGAAATGCCCACAACGCTGTAAAGAACTGATTCAGCACACCCACTGCCGAGGCTGTGAGCTGCTTGCTGCAAAAAATAGTTTCACTCTGTACCAGGGCACTTTTCACATGGAACATGTTAGACTTGCAGAAAGATAGGCCCTGGTTGCAGTGGATTTAATAGCACATGAAGTTAAATGTGCAGGTTTAGTGAGGTTATAATAATTGTGAAGTTCACTGCCAAGCCCAGAACAGCTTCTGATGTACTACTGCGGGGAAAATTAACATGCAGAAATGTGAAAATATTGCTAGGTGGTAACTTAAAGCCCATGCAAAACTGTATTCCAAAGACAGCCAGGCTTATCATGTGTTTTAGGCAGGTGACAGCTGCTTCTGCTTTTATCATAGAATGTTTTATCATCATGCACTGGGGACTTTACTATTACAGTAGTGTGTTGCTGCACATGCTGAATGTTTAAGTGTAGGCAGGTCTTTCCTGTTTGATATGGACAGGATTTTTATTCTAATTAAAGGACGTAGAAGGTAAGAAGGAATAGAGATCTGCTAAGATTACTTTTAAAGAAGCTTTCGTTTAAGATCTCTTATAACTAATTAGGCTGCGGTACATTTCCGCAAGAGTAGCGCTGCAGGAGCAAAAATGTGGATGATATTCTGTAAACAGTGGAACTAACAAGTACAAAATTCCTTTTCACTCTTCACAAACAACAGCTTGTAAAATGAACACTTAATGTTGTCTACCAAGCAGGATATTGGAAATTCAGCTCTTCATTAGGGAATAGTTGAGAAAGCGGTGACTTACCTTTGTAAGTGGTTACTTTACTGGAGCAAGCATGAAGATTTTTTTTTTTATTTTTTTTTTTTTTTGTGACTGCTACTGTTCATGCTGCACAATAAGCTCTAAACTGAGTGGAATATTGGGAAAGATTGCACATAGCGGGAATGACTGATTTGTCAGTCATCAGTCTGAGGTAATTCCCCTGAAATGCCTTCCCTGTGCTAACTGGAACTGTACCACCCAGAAGAATAATCCATCTGCTCATTGTTTTCTAGGAGCAATAACTGCAGTCCCTTCATGCAGGACACTTCCTGGAGATTAATGATCAGGTGGTGATAATGGCTCACAGCTGTGCTCTGAGCACTCAGCTCATCCCAGCCTGTCATTATTCCCTAGAAAATTGCCCGGCCCTTTGGCTGTGAAGATAAATTACAATGCAAAAAAATCAAAATCAAATTAAATATGGATTCATGTCCTTAAAATTTAAGTGAGCTATTAGGGACATCCAGCGTAAGAGTGCATTTGGATCTTTTTTAAATAACCCTCCAAAACCAAAATGTGTTTTCAAATAACTCTCCAAAAGCTGCTCTGAGTAGTTGGTACAGGATTCACTGGAAGTGCTTCCTAAAGCATTGTTTGGCAACATTGCAAATGAAAATTAACTGCTTGTCTTTTAATACTTATGATGTCATCTTTGGTAGTAACCAGATAATCAGCGTGCAGCAAGAGAATTGATTCACAGAGGGTGGGAACGACATAAATTATAAGCTGTTTAAAGCACAGGTTGTGCCACTGCCTCCTGTCTGGTTTAGATACACGCAACCAAAAAAAAACTGCAAACAAACCCCCCTTTTTTCTGTTTCTCAATTTATTTTTTTTTTTGTCAGTCATCTGATAATACTTCATTCGACATAAACCTCTGTAAGTGATAAGGCAAGCATGAGTGCCCTTGCTGTGACACTTACATGAGACTCTCTTTATTCATAAGGTTAATCTCTCAGTGCAGGAGAATTTGCAGTGTTAGTAGTGTTAAGTCTATGAGCTCTTCCTGTAATAGCAGCTGTACTGTTTTAAGACTGAAAGAATTAACTGTATGTAGAACCGTGTACTTTCAAGTGTGCTCAGAGAGGGATCTACAGGCAAGAAATATTGGGGTTTTTTACCAAGGAAACTGAGGATGTAATTTTCTTTTCCTTTCTTTGAAAAAAAAAAAAGGGGGGGGGGGGGGATAGGGAAGAAGCTCTACTGCATAGAAGCTCTACTTTTCCTTCAAGTAACATGCTGAATAATAATTATGCTAAGACTATATTAAATGACCAGGAAAGACAAACAGGAGCAGGTAAATAAAAGTCTCCAGTAATAACATAGTTTTTCCCAGTCTTCTCCTCAGTTAAAATAGGAGAAAGTCCAAGAATACTTTGCTGCAAAAAGTTCCCCGTGATACATTTTGCAGTGTTAGAGTTGTCTTTGAATATGTAATCAAAACACCATATACCTGATAACCTGCCGTTGGCAGGAGATCTTTTGGTAATAGTCTTTGTCCTTGTGCAAACCAAGGAAAACTGCCATCCTGGTTACTCATTCAAATATTAATTTCCAAGCTGATTTGTTGTTTTTAGCCTGCTTTTTGTAATATGTAAAATAGTTTCCTGTTGAGAATGCATTTGAGTCAGCTGTTGTTCTAGCATTATCAAGAAATATTAAAAGTTCTTACGTGGCTGGGCTTCAAAGATTCCTAAAAGAGGGATTTTTTAAAAACACATCACTTGCTAAAAATTGCAGACAGCAACTTCATTGATTTCCTAGAGGAAACTGTTTTGTGTTGTTAATGTTTTGATCTGTGTGTATATGTCTCCTTTCATTTTCCTCCACTTCCAAGACCAATTAATAGGCATTCTGATTTTAGTTTTTCTATTTGGAATGTAATTGCAACTCGTGTCAATGCATATACTAAGCTAGTCAGTCAGACCAGTCATTGTGTCCACTGCTTTTTCAGAACCACCAGTTGTATGAAAACTTAACAGAAAAACATTGTTACTTTCTACTACCCAGTTACGTGGCATACTACTTAATTTATTTAAAAGAAATTATTAGTTTACAAATGGAAAAGTACATGAGCGCCTGTTGAAATTGTATCATTACTATATGTGTGGCCAAGCTAGTGTATCAAATGATGGTTCTGACTTGAGAATTAGTCATTCCTCTGTGTATTAATACCTTCTTTCTTTTCTGTCTTTCCCGGTTGTTTCTGTTCCTGCTGGCTTTCCTCTGTCAATTCTCCAATGCTGCTCTATAATTAAAATTAATAAATAACAAAACCAACCAACACCGTAGTTATCCCCATTTGTCCCCGTTCAGCATCTTGCAGCCCCATCAGTCCTCTGTCCTACAAGACTATGAACTGTAGGAATCCAGGAGACCGCGCAAAACTTTATGCCTCTACTGATGCTCTTGGACGTAGGAGAACACCGCATCTTGCAGGGGTAAGCATGCCAGCCGTAGGTAAGGTAGTGTCTCGTGCCATGACCACCTGATTGCCTTGCTTGTTCGAACAGGAATAGTTGCAAGGATACCTGACTCAGTCTGATCCTCCCCTCTGCGCTGTCCCCACCCCCTCCAATTTGTTTCATGGTTGGCTGGATTTTAACTCAAGTAGACTACACTATGTGGTGACATAGCCTGATTATGCACCAAAGAATCCGCGTGGAAAAACACCCGTGTTTGCAGAGTGGCTGCCTTAGCTTCTCGTGAGGCACGGAGGCAGTCAGTGTGTGCCCTTTTCTCAAGTGGATTCTTTGCTGCCTTTTAAGGCCCAAGCTGGTGTTGCAGCTTTTCCCTCAGTGGGGAATCTTTTTTCCTCAGCCGCCTGTTTTCACAAAGCCTATAGAACTTCGTATCTTCTGAGGCAAATTCTAGCAAATTCAGCTGAGCCTCTGGGATAGAGGGGGGGGAAGGCATGCACTCACACTTGTCCATATACATAAACACACAGAGAACTGTCACTTCAGCTTTACTTTCTTAGGAGACCAGGCTGGTAAACGTTTCCTTGTTGAGAAGGAGGAGGTTGGTTTAGGAGCATGGTTTGTAAGCAAGGCTTCCCACCGATCACCTGCTCGTTCTGAATGATTTGGTAGCAATACTGTGACTGATCTGAGCTTTCAGAGAAAATCAGAAGAGTGTGATACAGGCAGACCGAATTCATGGTGACTGTGCTCCAAGCCAACGGGATGCAGTCAGCTCCAGTTCAGATATCATTTGCTGAATCTGAGCGGTTATATTTTTCCTTGTACTGTACAGCCTGGGTTCGTTTGAGTGTGAGAAGAGTGAAGTCATCTCTGCAAATGATTGTGTAAGGGGTGCTTGATTTTCATTTGGCCTGATGGGCAGAGGCAGTGCTGCTGTTGACATCCGTGTTGGAAGCAGCGTTAATGAAAGTCGACAGTGCTTAATCTTTCAGGCAGATGGTAGTATATTGAAGTTTAAGTTAAGGCGCAGCATTGGGATGTATTTGTAGAGAAATCTCACAGTATGTGCATAGTGCGTTGCAATCTCCAGGGCTAACAGTTTAGCACCTCTTGGGTCTTTCCATTGTGAGTATTTTGGGTTTTGGTTTGGGGTTTTTTGGGGTTTGTTTTTGTTTTTGTTTTTCTTCACATTAAAAAGAAGAAAGGTTGATACATTTTGGTGGAGGAGACAATGTAAAAATACTGTTAATCAAAATGACTGAGTTAAGAGCTGTTTTCAGTAGCCTGTATGGTGTGGAGAATCTTTTATTCTTCTGTAAACTTTTGTAGGAATTAATTTTTTTACTTACGTTAAGAAAAATTTTCTGATGCTACTGTTTTCGAGTAGTAATGAAATAGATCCAGTATAGAGAGTTATTGCTAGCAAGCCAAAATTATTCTTCATTGTAATGCATTTTGTTGTGGCTGTGTAGGCTTTGATAACTCAGGTGATTATCATATTAATTAGTAGATATCTGGTAAATTATACTGCCAAAGAGCTAGCTAATTACACTTGAGTAATGACTTCAGGATCAAGACCATCTATTGCTAATATTGTTATGTAATTTTAACCATAATGACCCAAAAAACTCCTCCTGGAGTTGGGGGGGGGGAGTGTTTTGCTCTTTCTTCAAATGGTTTATGGGGAGTAGTGGAAGGTACTGCGTGGCAATCAGCAAAGATCAAACCTTAAAAAGTAATTTTTTGCCTGTGTAAAAGTAAGCCTCTGCAAATTAGCCCATTACATCTTAAGACAGTAAGAGAGCATGATTAAGAAGGATTCTTGTTGTCAAATGCCTATTTACTGACAAGATGGTGGCAAATTACAGGAGCTGTATTATTGAACTTGTTAAACAGGCTGTAGAAACTACTGACTCAGCACTGCTTTTTCTCAGCCCCCCAACCCCTCATCCTTAACTGAGCTTGCTTTGCTTTCTTTAGCCATGTGAACTCTGGCTTGACTTTGTCTTTTTGTTTGCTGAACTGTAGACTGACAAAAAAGAAAAGGAGAGAGACCATTTGTCATCCAGCTTCTCAGCCAGCTTTAAAGGAGGTCATTTTTCTTCCAACCCCAAAGCTAGATCACCAGCTCCCTCTCCAGTTTGGTAAGCCAATTACAAGCTTAGCTGGAGGTTGAGCTATAGGCAGCTCTGATTGTTCTATTAATTAAATGTGAAACAGTGCAAACTTATTTAGTGATGTAGATGTTTTCTCTCTGCAACAAAGGAAAGACAGTCCTGCTTTTAGAAAAATATTACTACTGCTTTGAGGAAGGGGAAGGAGGAAGTTACCTGGTTTCTTCCTTCTTGGCTGAGCTCAGTGCTCACACATCTGGAGAGTTGCAAAGAGAAGCATTTTGCATGAAAGCTAATTAGTTGCTCCAGCAGTCCTGCTTGGTAGCAGAGAAGTAGAGAAGTTGTTTTATTTTTAGCTGTTGTAGTTGTAGAGGTGATATGTAGGTGGTGTCTAGCAGAGCACGTCTGATGGTGATTGTCACTCTTTGTGGTTACGCAGGCATGCGTCAAAGTCTTTGCCTTTTTTGCCTGGCACACCCAAGCAGATAACTTCCCCACCTGGTTCCTCCAAAGTTTCCTCTGCTCAGGCACGTCCTCCTTCTCCTGGCAACATCCGGCCAGTCAAAAAAGAGGTCAAACCAGAGAGTAAGAAGAAAAGGCCAGAAAAGGAGGCTGAAAAGGCCAATGAGGAGAGGACAGAAGAGAGTAAAGGAACTTCACCAGGTGCTGGAGAATCTGCAAGTCAGGAAGAGCTTGCCGTCCAGGCAGAGCTCACTCAAGGTAAGGAGAGATCTTCCTTTAGGTTAAGGAATGTCTGAGAGTCTCTTATGTTCTTCCCTTCCTTTCTCTGAAACAATGTAGCTTTCAGTAGTTTTCTATCAAGTGTTAATTTAAGTTCTTCAAAACGTTCCTGCAGATGCATGTTCATTGAGGAAAGTGTAAACAGGTTGAAGACCTCCTGCTTGCAACAGTCAAAACAACGCGCAGACCTGCCTTGCATAGTGTGGCTTCACAGCCCTCTTCTCTGCCCTTTTGGACCATGATTTTGTCGCTCACATCATGACACAGCTTCTTTTCAAACTGTTGAAGTAGAATAATAATGATCTGAAGACTAATGGTACAGGAAGCCATCACATAAGGTAGTGGGAGCGGTGAGAATGTCCAGCTCTGCTAGACAACTCAGTACAGTTGTGCTGATGACACTACCAGCTTACCGATAATATTGCAAGAGTACCATATCATGGGAGAGATTAGCAGGATAAAATAGTATGCAGAGGAAAACCAAGGAGAAGAGTAAAGAGGAACAGGCAGAATTTTTCAGGGAAAATGAGTTCTTAAAAAAAAAAAATTACCAAAAAAAACCCCACACCAAACCATACCAACCCTGAAAAGCAGCAAGGCAGAAAAGGATGTACATACAAAATAAAATAATGATCATAAAGTGTAAGAAGGGCAAAAGGTAAATCTGAAAATGAAAAACGTAGGTTTGTTCTAGCAGATGTTTTAGTCCATTGTAAATATGGCATAAGCTGTCTGTCTCACGGATGGAATAGAATGGCCATTGTGACCACTGGGTTTCTAAGGATGGGTTACTTAAGATTCTGAATTTAAAATTCATAGATTCCCCTTCAAAAACCACTTTCAAGTATTAATAATCCTGCATTTAACTGCAGGATGTGTAGTTGGGGGTTGTTCTTCTGCAAGAAGACCTGGTGTGAATTGATGCCTTTTGTTAATAAGTTCTGTTACAGTAGTTCCAGTCTGATACCCAGGTCCTACCACACAAGGTGCAACCCTGCAAAAAGCTGGAGATTGACAGTAATAAATGGATGCATCTCTTGTCCATGGGCATGTAGCAAAGAGATGAGAATTGCCATGTTAGCATGGGCTTTCACTGCTCTTCTGATAACCTTTTGCTTGCTTCCTTTTAAAGAGAAAGCTTCCTTTTAAAAGGATTTCAGGGATACCACTGAGATAGCTTTGCAAATGTTTACAAGCTGTAGTTCCCCAGTACAAGGTGCAGACCACAGAAACATCATCCTGCTTGTGTGACAGTTTAGCTCAGGAGGGAGAGAGGCTCAACTTCTTTGCAGAGTCAGTCAATATTTGAGTTTGTGACAAGATCACTTAGTATGGAAACAGGTTATGTGCGATAAAGATATTTGAAAGTGAACTAGTTAGTATTCACAGCAAAGAAACTAGTAGTGGAGAGGGGCAAAAGAGAAGGATACAATAGTGAAAGTGGTGAGCAGCACTGCAAATTGGATGTCTTTTGCCAAAGCCAGAGGAAGTGATGGTTGGGACCAAAGATTGAGACCTCAGGCTAAGTATTTTACATGTGAGGTTAGAGGATAGGCTTTGTACTGCAGGTGGAGGCCCAAATTGCCAAAACTTAGCCATTAGTTGAATGCAAGAATCTATAGAGGGGCAAGTGCAGCATTTGGAGCTAGGGGGACATTGCTAATGTCTCTGAAGTCTGTGTTGGAGGTGAGCATAGCTGATTTCTGCCAATTAACTGGCCTTTAACTTGTCTGGCTCAGCTGCCTGCTAGCTATGTAGTCACAGGAGCCAGGAGGTCAGCAGGTAATGATCACTGATGGAGCTATTCAGCTTTCGCAGGCAAATCTCACATGACTTTACTAATACCAGTGAAGTTTAAAAGGTATTTTGGGTGTGCCTGTGCAAGCTGTTGTCACCTTTTCTGACAGCAGGGCAGGTGTGCATTAAACAGGCTACTTGTTATGCTGCCAGCTTCAGCACCTGAGGCAAGAAGTGAGCCCCAAGCAGCACAAAGCTGCGCTCCCTTCAGGAGTAACAGCCCTGCCTTGGTCCATGTTCGTAAATTAAAAAGTGCAGGAACTCTGTCATTTATACTGTTTGACTATTACAAAGGCTCTCTGGTATGTTTCTGACCCAGTTTGTAATTGCAGCCCCACATTTCTTACCTTCTGTCCCCAAGGCTACTAAGAGCATAGCTCTAAAGGGCTCCCAAGCTTTAGAGTGATCGAATTACTTACCTTTTTATATTTGAACAGCCCAGAATTTTCTGAGTTCCCAGCTACATCTTGGAGGTTAGCCCAGGTCTGAACTGTTCCCTAGGGGTGGACTGAATACCTGTTTTGGTAATGTGAGAGAATAGTGCTCTGCCTGAGGCTAAACTGTGCCAGCTCACCTCAGGGCTAGAGACCAGGCCCTGGCACTCTTTAAATTACTGGTGTACATATATCATTTGAATTCAAGGTGAACGCTTTGAAGTAGTTATAGAAAGACCTGCATAGTTTTTACTTGATAGAAGAAAGCAGAGAGGTCAGCAGATGTGAGCATTCAACACAGAGAAAGCAGCTGAATTTGTGTTTGTATACATGACGAGGTATAGGAGGGAGTAATCAAGGAGGAAACCCCTCTTGGAAGTTGTTAGTGAAGTGAGGAAAATTCTGTAACATCCCAAAGCGTGGTTAGAAATGTAGATTTAAAATCATCTCCTGGATGTTTCTGATGACTTACTCTACATGTATCTTCCCAGGATCAGAATCTGATTCCATTGACAGTTCAAAGTCTTCCCTGTCCATGTTTGTCTGCGTTAACAGATGTTACTACCCTGGGAATGCTTCCTTCAGTTAGCTTGTTGGTAATGGTCCCTGGTCTCTAGAGAAGTGCAGTTGAGGTGCTCTGTATCTGTGCTAGAGAATGCTGGGCAAGCTTACAGAAACGTGAACCAGTGTTTTACTTGAGAAAAACCTGTAACACCTTCTCTACCAGGTGGCCAAAGCTGGTCCTGGGTAAAGAATTTATATGAAGGCGCTATTAAGATTTGAACACAAGCCATAGTTCACCAGTAGTGGCAAAGCTTGTTAAGAAGCTGTGTTCTGGTCCAATGAGTTGCCTCAGGTTAGAGTAACTGCAAAATTGATGATGGCTTGTGTCCTACCCTTATTGCAGATCACTTCAAACAGTTGATGTTTGAGATCACCAAGTCACCAAAAGTGACTGGCCTATCACCAAAAAGTCTGGCCCTGCTCTTCAGATGTAGGCTATCAGACAGAAGAAAATGTAATACCACAATGTTTCATTTCTGCTCTCCAAATAGAATTGGGCAAACTTAAGAAATGTGATGGTAGGGACTTGCTGAGTCAGCATAACTCCTGTTGAGCACCCATCAGCATTTATTCTTCTGACAGAAAAGATGGTTTAATCTTTCAACTGGAGCTGCTTTCATATATCCTGTAAAAACAAACTTCCCTTCAGGAATATGAACCCCTAGCATCTAGAAATTTCTTCCTCCTCTGAATCATCTATAAAACCATGTAAGCTTGAAAATATTTTACGGAGTATTTGAAACTATTTTCTGTTCCTTTCAAGAGTGTCATCTTGGCTACTGTGTCTGTACAAACTAGTTTTCATTCCCATCTGTTTCAGCAGCCAGCCCATCCCTGCCTCCTGCTCTGCCAGCTCTTTCTCCACCCCCACCCCCCGCAAAGACCTCGGCAGGTACAACTGACCCTGAAGAAGCAACAAGGCTGCTGACTGAGAAGAGGCGCCTTGCCCGTGAGCAGCGGGAACGGGAGGAGCAAGAAAGGAGGGAGAGAGAAGAGCTTGAAAGGTGATTCTAGACCTCTGCAGTGGAGAAGATATGTTTGTAGCAGCCTCTTAGCAGCTTCTTGTGTATATTCTGTTGTTATATTCTGATATATGAAACACAGTACTGAAGTGCAGGGGGCACGAGTTCCTCCCCGAAAACGAATTTTCCTGTTGCAGGCACAATATATACCTATCAGACCTGTAAGGTTAAAACTTATCCTAAATAGTGCTTTAAAATAGGACAGGAGGTGAGGGCAGATTCTTGCTGTAGTGATTCTTTTTTTATTATTTATTTATTTTTGATTGTCTAGAGCTTAATGATGGTGATGACAGGGTTGAGTGTTTATGGGTAAGAATCAGGGGGAAGGCCAACAAGGCAGATGTCATGGTGGGAGTCTGTTACAGACGACCCAACCAGGATGAAGAGGCAGATGAAATATTCTCTAAGCAGCTGGGAGAAGTCTCACAATTGCTAGCCCTTGTTCCCATGGGGGACTTCAACTTACCAGATGTCTGCTGGAAATACAGTACAGCAGAGAGGAAACAGTCTAGGAGGTTCCTGGAGTGTGTGGAAGAGAACTTTCTGACACAGCTGGCGAGTGAGCCAACTAGGGAAGGCGCCCTGCTGGACCTCTTGTTTGTCAACAGAGAAGGACTGGTGGGGGATGTGATGGTTGGAGGCCACCTTGGGCATAGCGATCCCAAAATGAGTTTCCAATTCTTGGAGAAGTAAGGAGGGGGGTCAGCAGAACTGCTACCTTGGACTTCCAGAGGGAGGACTTCGGCCTGTTTAGGAGCCTGGTTGACAGAGTCCCTTGGGAGGCAG